TTACAGATTAATCCAATCCTCCTTTCACTTTATAAATGAGGAAACACGGGCTCAGAGACCGGACTGTCACACAGCTAGTAAGTAACATTCTCAGAATCATGTTTTTAAACGTATAAAATAAAATACATGAGATTGCAAAGAAACCAACTGAGTGGAAATCGAAAGTTTTTCTTTTTTTTTTTTAAATCATGGATCCAAGGTTAAGAACCCATGCTCTAGAACAACTATCTGAGTCTCACCCTCATTAATTTGATGGAGACAAAGTAGTTAAGTCAACAAACATGTATGAAGTGCCTACTGTGTGCCAGGTACTGGGCTAAGCACTGGAGTAAGATGACTGTCCTGAAGGGCTGAGCTACAACTCAGAAATGTTGTCCTTGGGACAAACAGCAGGAAATAAGGCCTCGATTAGGGGTGAGACACAACCCTGAGAAAGAGACCCTACAACAGTATCATGAAACTGTTACTTTGGAAGCCAAGGAAAGATAGTCAGGAGTGTGGGGGGCAGTCACCCAGTCCTCTCTAAATTTGGTGGTGGTTTGGTTATTTTAGTAGTGTCCAACTCTTTATGACTCCATTTGGGTTTTCTTGGCAAAGATACTGGAGTGGTTTGCCATTTCCTTCTCCAGTTCATTTTTACAGATGATAAAACTAAGGCAAATGGGGTTAAGTGACTTGTCCAGGGTCACACAGCTAGTAAGTGTCTGAGGTCAAATTTGAACTCAGGGGAACAGCTAGGTGGCGCAGTGGATAGAGTGCCAGCCTTGGAGTCATGAGGACCTGAGTTCAAATCCGACTTCAGACACGTGATACTAACTGGGCAAGTCACTTAAGCCCAACTGCCTCACCAAAAAAGAAAGAAAAAAAAAAGACAAATTTGAACTCAGGTCTTCCTGACTCCAGGCCTGGTGCTCTATCCACTGTGCCCCCTAGCTGTGCCCTTTAAATTTGGTACCCTGAGGCAAACCCCAAGTCACCCCACCCTCGTTAATGTTCTAGTGAGGGAGAGGTCTGGGATATTAGACTTTGGGGGTGAGAGTGGAGAAGCAGCTGAAGCCTTAGCTCAGGGATATACCACGTAAGGTGGGAAATGTGCATTAGCCATCAAGGCTCTTCACGGCCCATTTAGCCTGTCCTCATATCAAGGTCCATACTTTCTTTTCTGTTTCTTTTGTTTGGTGTTTGCTCTATGCCTGGATTGTTCTCTGGTCCCACACTTTAAAGCCCAACTGAAACAGCACCTTCTCCAATAAGTCTTCCTGATGCCTGTGGTTTGGAATAATTTTGCCCTTTGCAACTCATGTAGCATGTTGTACTTCTATGATACATTTATCATCTAATGTATCATAGATTAGATTGTGGACTCCATGAGGATTGAGCTCTTCTCTTTGTATCTCCTTCCACTTCTAATGGTGTTCTGCATACAGTGGATGATTAACGTTCAATATTCATGGGGCTTGGCTGCTTGTTTTCCCTGGGAGTGGGAAAGACTAAAGCTCAGGTATGAATACTCATGAAGCCAGCTGCTCTCAAACATCTTCCAGACTCCTAGATCTAAGACTCCAAATTCCACAGTCTGGACTCAAAAGATGGAACCATGTACCAAACCCAAGGCGTGTGTGTGTGTGTGTGTGTGTGTGTGTGTGTGTGTGTATACATTAGGCAGAAAGAGAAGGCACCTCTGAAGGTCTGGAGCACTGCCTTCTTTCCATTCATCCAAGTTTGCAACCTTAGATTCATCCTGGGCACTCCCTTCTACCCTCTCCTTCCCCTATATCACATGAGTTGACAAATTCCATCTCTTACTCCTAAAACATCTCTTGAATTCATCCCTTTTCCCTACCCATGTGGCTTTTACCTTAGTTCAGGCTCTCAGTAATCTCATCACTATTGCAATAATCTCCTTCCTGTCACAAGAAAGACAAACACCCCCCCCCCCCAAAAAAGAGGTAGCCCAGGGACACATCTGCAAGGAGAAAAGGATGGCCGAGGATGCTGCTGCTCCCCTGACGACTGATAAGAAGAAACAGTTTCATGAGAACCCAGGGAGGGAAACGTGGAGATCACCTGTGCTCAACATGGCATAAAAGATGAACGATATGGACTGAGAAGAGGCCGTCAGCTTTTGCAATTAATAGATCATTTGTAACTTTGGAGAAAACGGTTTCAGTCGAGTGATGAAGTTGTAAGCCAGAAGAGGCTGAGAAGCGAATATGATACGAGAAAATGGTGAGTGTAAACAGGTCTTTGTCGGAGTCGGGCTTCAAGAGGAAGAAGCCAAAGAGGATGATGGTAGCTTGAGGGGCCATAGTATCAAATTAAGGTTTCATCAAGATTGAAGGCGATGCAGTCCTATTTGTAAGTAATAAGGAAGGAGTCAGGATTGGAAGGGATTGAATTGAAGACGGGGCTAATGCAAGGGCCATCCTGTTGGACATGGAAGGGATGGCATCGATGGCATCGTTGCCCCATTTGCACAACCTGATGGATGTGGATGACGTGGGGGGAATCTGCCTGAAAACAAAAGGGCCATCTCTCCAAGGCTGAAGCAATGGAGGAGAAAGTAGGAGATGATATTGAGGGGTGTGTTGTATAGAATTGGGGAAAAGAGAGTTCAGGATTGTATTCTTCATTTTTTCAGTACTTTGTGATGTCCTGCACTGGAAAAAGAGTGGGAAGGGGTTGTAAATAACTTGTGGAAGAAAGAGAAGGTTTAATACAGATATTGAGAGAAGTGGGAGAGTCAGTCAGGTACCAGGTGAAATCAACAGAACCAAGAGAATAATTTATGTGATAACCACAATAAACAAAAGCAACTTTGGATAGCTCAGACTTTGAAAGAAAAAAACCTGTTTTCTATAAAATAATCTGTACAAAACAGAACATGTCCCCGCCTCCCCGATTTCAAGTTCTCCTCTTTCAAGCCATCAGCTGCCAAAATGAAATTCTTAAAATATACTTGACCACATCTTACTCACAAATTTTACTTACTCTTTACTTACTCACACATTTTCAATGACTCCTTATTGTCTCCAGGATTTAAAAAAAAAAAATCCTCAGCCTGGCTTTTAAAGCCCTCCCCAAAATGGCTCCCCACCTGCCTTGTGTCATTTCATAGTACTCTGGTTACAAATGGGAACATCAGCTATTGCCAGTAAGATCGTATTTGGGCTTCTGCCTCCAAGCACTTGCATAGGTCATTCCCCACATCCAGAACCAATCCCTTCCTCACCTCCAAATCTTAGAATCCATCGCTTCCTTCCAAGCACAGGCCCAGGGCTCACTGAGCTCCACAAAGGCTTTTCCTGAACCTTCCCCCACCTCGCAAGTTAGAAATCTCATCTAGGAACTGCTTTGTATAACTTCATATGTACATACCTGTGGGCCCGAAGTTAAGGAAGATATGGCACATAGTAGGCACTCAGTATGTTGGATTGAATGGATGGGGTTGCAGCAGAGTTAAGAGGCTTCTTCAGACTCAACTCGCCCTTTTCACAGGGAGGCCTTTTGAGTTAGTGGGAAGCATGAATTTCAGCCCCTAGGATCTCCCAACTCCAATCCACCCATGCCTCTGCCAGAATGGTCTCTTATAAACCAATCTGGTCACGTCCTGTTTAAAAGCCTTCACGTCCCTCTTAGTCTAGTATTATCCAGCCTTCCCAGTCCCCCCCACCTCAGTTCTTCCCACCTGCTTTATCTGTGCCCAAGCCCTCTCTAAACCCTCCTTCCACCCCTTCCTTTTGTCATTCCCCTTGCCTGTACCACTCAAACTTCCCTCTGCCTGTTGAATTTTGATTCCTCCTTTCACATTCAAGTCAAATGCCACTTGTTCTGGAAACTTCCTCTGATCCTGGATTCCCAAGACCTTTCTCTTCAGATGTTAGTGCAGAGTACTTTGCCCTTCTGCCACCCATTTATCATGTAATATGGTATGAATTACGAGCTCCATGAAGGCAGGGCCCATATCTTATTGTAAACTTTGTATGCCCCTAGGGCCTAGCCCTAGCACAATTCACTGTACACAGCAGAGGCTTAGTAAATGCTTAAATGTTGAATAAATGAACTAATCAGTGTCACATGGTGAGGGAAAAGGGACACTGCTCTGCCCCATGAACAGTTCTTTACATCTGTACTCTTCAAAATATTTCCACACCAATTATCTATCACTGCAAGGTCAACATGGCATAAAATGCTGATCTGACAGACAACCGAGGGCTAAAAAGGGAAAGGAGACTTGCCCAGCATCCCAGGGCAGCATGGCTGAGTTGGGTGGGGCTCAGGGAGAACAGGCCTTGAGAGGTAGGGGGACATGTGTCTGACAGTCACTGGCTGTATAACATGACCTTGGAAGTCACCAAACATCTTTTGTAGTTCTTGCACTTCCTAGTTCACAACATGGTTATGTGAAAAGTGGATTGTAGACCCCAAAGCACCATGGAAATGCAGCAATATCTTGTCCCTCTAATGCTGCAGAGAAGGAACCTGAGGACCAGAAATGGGGTCTTTTCCAGGTCACAAAGGTAGGGACCCAGAGCAAGAGGTCTGGTCAGCCCAAGCAGAGGCTAGGCCAGCCTCTGATCCACATCTTCTCAGGATTCTCCTTGTATTACATACCCATGAGGACTCCTTCCTTAGAGGTGCTGTGCTCCTTGGACCAAGTTCCCCCAGGGGACATGATGTTCACCTCCAGAAAGCTTGGCCCAGAGTGGCCAAAGTTCCCTTGTCCCACCTGAGTATTCTGATCCTATCCGTGAGCTACCATCTTTTGGATGGCCAGTCAAAACAAGGGCAGGGGAAGGGGGAGAAAAGGTATGAAGAATATAAAGCAATTTCTCCTACACTTGGGTTCTAGATCAAGTTCTTCCAAAGCTCTTCGCCTCAGTTTCCTTATCTGTCAAATGGAAATAATACTTGCTGTTGTGTTGACCCAGTAGTGATCACTTTGAAAAATTAACTATAAGAAAAAAGCTCAACAGAAAGAAATGGAAGGGGGGGAGGGGAACTATAAAATTTTAAATCTTTAATTTCTTTGTTTTTGCTTCCAAAATGAATGCAGATATATTTCTGTCTATCTGTATATCTGTACATGTTGGGGACAGTTGGGAAGGGTAGTTTGGGTGTCTGAAATCATGAAGGGCCCTGCTGGGAGGGAACCACGTTGGGGCTTGAAGTGTGGTAGGAATACCCCTCCCTGATTGGCAGAGCGAGCTGTAGGGGGAGGGAGGGCAGGTGTTTCTCATGCAGTCACTGCCTTCCCAGGAATTTGGGATTTGGGGGAAGGGATGTGGGGAACAATGAGGTCCACTGAGGTCCTCCCCTACCACACTTGGCAGATGGATTATTGCTATTGTCCTGGTAAAGGAAAGGGAAGCAGGAGAGGAGGGGGTTTGGATTGCCCAGCCCCTCCCAGGTGGTGGAGGCAGTCCCAGCGTTAGCAGCGGTTTGGGGTCTTTGTGGGGAGAAAAATGGGGGTCATTCTGTCCCTCCCCTCTCCTGGAAAGGGAGTGGATGTCAGAAGGGGCCATGGGGCCCAGGGGTGGCGAGTTGTCCCCACTTCCCAATCCTCCAGCGGGCTGACCCTGTTGAGTTCTCACTCCTCAGCAGGGGTTCCAAGCTCCCAGTGGGTCCCCCGGGCCTGTCTGCCTGTTGGTGCCCATGTTACCCCGAGGGGCTCTCTGGGGACCTCAGTTGCGCTGGTTTGTCAGCTCCTGTGAGATGAACTTTCGAAGACGCTCCAAGTATTGGCTATAGAGCTCGATGTCATTGTGCCCCGCGCCCTCCACCCAAAGTGGCTCCACAGCTTTCGGGCAGCGCTCATACAGCGCTAGTCCGTGGGAGAAGTCAATCACCTCGTCGTCAGTGCCATGGATTATCAGCACAGGCGATGTGATCTTGGAGACCTTCTCAATGCTGTGGGGAAGGGCATAGAGGGGTCAGACTTGGTTTGGGGATACCTCCAGGAACCCAAAATACAGACCATCCCCCCACCCCATTCTGCACCTAGATTGGGAAGCTAGAACTCCCCCACTGTGGACTGTGGGGAGGGGGAGTGTTCAATGCCCAGATTTATTGGCTATCACTCCACCCCCACCCCCAACCCCCAAATTGTCCTTTCCCCTTATGGTAGCAGAAATGATAACTGAGATGTGCTGGTGTAAGAGGGTTCTAGAGCCCTCAGAAGTCAATAAGTTCAATGCTCTCAGTCTGTAGGTGGGGAAAAATGAAGACCAGGTCCTCTGACCCCAAGTCCTGTATGCTTCCCATTGACCTACCCTGGCTCACCTCATCCGCTCCACCCCATACCTTGCATATGGGGAAATAATGGGTAAAAGTGCTGGGTTTGAGGTCAGCTGAACCATGGGGTCGAATACTAGCTTAGCTACTTACTAGAGCTGTGTGACCCTGGGCAATTCATTTCTCTCAGATCTCAAGTTTCCTCATCTATAAAACGGGGATTTTACTTGCATTGCCTACCGCACACGAGTCCGTTAATGTGCTATAGAGCCATGTGCTGCTGTTATGATACTATGGCCCAGCAAGGCTGTCTAGCTCAGGGTCATGTAGCTATGAAGATGCAAAACTATGACCCAAACCTAAAGCCAGGACTCAAATATGCTAGGCTGGTTTCATCAGTTAATTTTGGGGGGGGGGCAGTCTGCTCTGGCCACTAGGTAAAAATACCACCACCACCCCCCCACTCTTCCAAAGAGAGCTAAGAATCAGACTGACATATGGAGACTCTCAGCTGGAATCAGACTGGGCTGGGGCTTGGCACAACCATAACGTGGGGGGCGGGGGGAATTATTCCCAGATGTCTCAGGACATTTAAGGATGAAGGGATGCCAGCAGGGCCTCTATCTGCTTTTTTAGGGCTGTGGAGATTCCTGTGATGCCAACCTGGCCAACATCTTTGCACTGCTCACATTGCTATAGCACTTTGAGGTTCACAAAGCATTTTCCTGAGGTGTTGGAGCTGGGATTTGAACCCAGGGCCCTCCAAACCCTAATGTTGGCCTCTCTGGGGAAGAAGCAGGGCCCCACCCCACCCTGGCCCCAAGGTGCCCTCTGTTGGGGGAATTCCCTCACTTGGGAAAGGCGTCAAAGCAATAGGTCTTCTTGGTATCAGGGAAGGCAACCCTCATGCCTGAGGTGAGGGGAGAATGCAGCACCACAGCAGCACACTCGTAGCGCGAGGCCAGGTCCACGGTGGGCACTGTTCCGATGCTCTGCCCATACAAGATGATGTTCTCTGGGCTGATGCCATACCTGGTGGAGAGGGGCGGCTGAGTCATTTGCTGGGCCCAGATCTGCCCCCCCCCAAATATAACAGAAACATTGATTGAGAGCTGGAACCTTAGAAGTCATTGAGTCAACCCTCCCCCAGTGTCCAGATGAGGCTCAGAAAGGGAGGTCACCCAGGTCGTAAGCAGTAGAATGGGGCTCCCCCCCAGGCCCTCTGGACTCCAAATACAGCACTCTCTCCACTACCTCTCATGGGCTTCTCCCTGCTTTAAGGATCTGGGCTTTCTTTGGTGTGGGTCCACCAATCCATCACCAGTGCAGACCAGAACTTCTCTGGGATTAGCACAGGGTTTGTGAGGTTGTTGTAGCTACTCTGGTAATAAGCCCCAACAATACATGGGTATATGTGTATGTATACCCATGTACACACACACTCTGCGTGGCCAGCTAGGCCTGTGCTTGAAGCTTTCCAGCTTAGCAAGATTTGCCAGAGTGGGCATCACCCTGGAGAGCCAGGGTTACCTCCATACTAGGAGGAGGCATCAGAAGAGGATTCTGGTAGAAGGATGATAATAACAATAATACCCCTTTTATTTGTAGAGTGTTTTAAATCTCACCTAATACGTTATACCCATTTGAGGGTACAAAGAGTCACACAACTACCCTGTGATAACAAATGTTGGTGACCCCATTTTATATGTGAGGAAATTAAGGTTCAGAGAGGCTAAGTGACTTGCCATGGTCACACAGGTAGCCAGCAAGGATTTGAACCCAAGTACCAACTCCCAATGCTCCTTCTGTAACTCTACAATGCCTGGTACATCCTTCCAAAGGACTAGGTGAGCTGACCTGCTTAAGTCTCACAGCTAGCTTCATAGCTGCTAGAAATCCCAGTTCTTCAGACTGCAAGACCAGTTTTTATTTCTATTAATAATGATGATAATGAATTCTTCATATTTTATAATGCTTAAGGTTTACAAATAAACCTTTTCTTACAACCCTATTATTATCACCATTTTACAGATGAGAAAACCAAGGCTCAGGGAGGTTTCCTGATTTGCCTAGTACCATGACCATGAAGTATTAAAGCTGCCTTTCATTCCTTCCTGCCCTGCAAAGGAACAGTGGGCTAGGCAAAAGGGAGGTGGGGAATGCTACGTCCAAATCCTTGCTTGGAGGGCAGGGCCGCCTCTTTTCCTGTACACATCTTTCAAGGCCAACTCAAATCCTGTTTCTCTGGGAAGCCTTCCCTGACCACTTCAGCCCCCAACGATCTGGCCTTTACCTACAGCCCTTTGGTTCTGACAAAGTTGGTAGGCCCCAGGGTTATACGTAGCCTCAAATGGTTAGTTGTTCATGTATATGTTTGGGCAGAAATTAGAGGGAAGGAAATTTCACTTCAACATAAAGAAAAACTTCCCCAACAAACAGAAAAGTCAAAAATGGAAGTGGCATCCTCCTGAGCTCATCATTTCCCCATCAATGGCAGTGTTTAAGTGCAGGTTAGACAGCTGTATGTTGGAAAGACTGGGCAAAATCACCCCCGAGAGAACTTCCAACTTCAGTTTTCTATAATTAGGTATAATTATTAGTCTGTGGGCTTCTCCAAAAGCAGGGCCATGTCTTCTTTGTAGGACAAGGGAGGTGAGAAGTAAATGCGTGAGGACTGCCTGCCTGATGAGCTCTTCCGTGAAAGGAACGCGTCCTCTCTCAGGATCACCAGTAGGCGGTGATATTGTCATCCCAGCTGGGGTGGAGAATGTGGTTTCACTGTAACTCAGCCTCTCTTCCAAGGATCTCAAAGCCCTTGAGGAAGATCGGGAGAACCCTTGGGATTAGGCAGCTGGGGTGGGAGAAATCAATTTTCTGTGCCCCCTGAATGAATGGAGTGGGTAGTCTTCTGTCTTTAACAGTCACCTAGTACAGTGGAAAGAGCCAAATTGTAGTCATGGGATTGGGGTTCAATCCTTGGCTCTGCCACTGACTGTGTGACCTTGGGTAAGTCCTTTTCCCTATGGAGTTATTGGTTTTCTCAACAGCAAAATGAGGCTAACACCACTTACTTTGTCAACCTTGAAGGAATGCCCTAGGGATCCAATTCAGTAATGAATGTGATGACACTTTGTAACAATCAGAATGTGAAGGATGATCATTACATGGAGGGCAGTAATGATATAATGGGAAAAACGTGGCACTTGTAGATGACTGGCATTCAAGGCCCAGGTCCACTAATTACTAGTTGTGTGTTGCAGGCAGGGTACTCCACCTCTCGGAGCCTTGCTTACCTCCCTCATGAAATGGAGATAATAAAACTTGTGCTGCCTACCTCGAGTCATCTGTTGTAAGGGAAGTGCTTTGTAATAAAGTGCTACAATAACCATGCACATTTATGGTCACAATCAGCTTTAGGGCCTGTGCTGTTGCTTAAGCTTCTGTTCAGGTCTCTCGAGACCCTGAGGAAGCCTGCCAGAGATGAAGGAATCGAGCCTCTCCCAGGACCTCTCTTCCTGATTCCCCAAAGAGAGAGGTTTGAGGCTGAGCAAAAGGAAAGGAAGAGGCATGAAGGGAGAAGACAAAAGATCCATTTAGAGGATGAAGCGCTCAGGCTAGAACCACCTGCTGCCCACCACGGATGGAGTGCCCAGGCCACCTCCATCTGGGTACTGAGTCAGCTCCCAGCTGGGGGTGTGGCCTAGGCTCTGGCACCACTCTCACAGCCCTTCATATACACCCCCATAACTACAACAGCCTTAGGGGGATCTTCTCTCACAATGGTGGTGGTGAGCTGGTGCCTAGGAACAGTGCCCAGCAGGTTTCCTTGGCAACAGTGGACTTGCCAGCCTCCCCCACCCTAGTCCGCCTTCAGGCTCCACTGCCAGCTGCTGCTTCCCATCCCCTGCCCCCTTGGGTCCTGGGAGCTAGTGGAACCGGTTGGGGCGGGGGGGGGGTACTTCCAGGCTTCAAGTTGGGTGTTCAGGAAGGGCAGGGTACTGGGTATGTTCCTGATGGGGGCTGGGCCCAGGTAGGGGAGATTAGAAGAGGGAGGGTCAGAGAGAAAGCGATTTGGAATCCTTAAAGGTGCTCATGGGAAAAGCAGGAACCTGACTAGCTCTGGTTTTTCCCCTCCCCTCCCCACCCCACTCTGCCCTCAGGCCAGGAGATTCTGTCTCTGAACTGGACACTGGTAACTGAGAGAGGAATCCTAGAGATCACCTAATCCAAACTGAGAGCCAGAAAATGAGATCCAGAGTAATTTGCCAAGGTCCCACAGCTAGCAAACAGCACAGCGGGGTCTAAACCCAGACCTCCAAAACTCAATTGCGGCAGTCTTTCTACCATGCTGCCTCTTTCAACAGCCATGTTGAGGTAGGTAAAGCCTGCACAGGGGAGCCAGTACAATGGGTTTAAAGGCAGAGGTCCTGGGTTCAAATCCCAGTTCTCCCTTTTATAACCTGGGTGACCCTGTAAAACGAAGGGGCTGAACCAGATGGCCTTCCAGACGCCTTCCAAGTCCAAATCTGGGTGCATCTACAGCAGAGTTCCCAACTTGTTTGGCCTACTGCCCCCTTTAAAAAAAATTACTTGGCACCCCCCCACACACAAATCTTTCTTTAACCCTTTAGTGGTACTTTTGAAATCTGCATCGTTTCAAAAAAATACTTACCCCCCTGGATTGTTCCAGCACCCCCTCAGGGGGTGGTATCACTGACTTGGGAACCCGGACCCTGGACTGTGAACAGACAAGCTGGAGGCGCTCCCCAGGGAGGGAGAGGTGGGACGCTGGTGGCCATTTGCAGTGGCCTCTTCACAGGAGGCTCAGCTGATTTCCCCCCCCACTAGCCCTGATGATGCCCCTGGAATCTGGTTTTTCCTGCAAGGATTTCATTAAACATTGAGGGACAGAACTAGAAGGGAAGACCTGGGTTCAAATCCTAGCCTTACTGATTACATATGGAACGTAGGGCAAGTTGCTTCTCTAGGGGTCTCGGCTTCCTGCTTTGAAAAAAAATGAGGGAGCTGGACTCTCCCTCTCTCTCTCTCTCTCTCTCTGTGTGTGTGTGTGTGTGTGTGTGTGTGTGTGTGTGTGTGTAGTCCTTACAATACTAATAAAAATAATGAGATTGACTACTGACTAATATATTGATTTTTGAGGTTTGCAAAGTGTATTACATCACCTGAGCCTCACAACAACCCTGTGAGGTAGGAGCCTCAGGTACTATTATCCATTATGCCCATTTTACTGCCCATTTACAAAATGATTTGCTGACTCCAGGACTTCTACTACTACTATAATGCACTGCCTATCGGTACCTGGCAGCTCTAAAACTCCAGGTATACTGACTCCACCAAGTCCGTGCTCAGGCTGACTAAATGCCTAGCCTCAGGAAAAAAGAATCCTTGCCCTAAGGGGGCCCATCCTCAAGCTGGAGGTTGGAAGGGATGTCAGTGGTCATCTAGGCCCTCCCACACTCAAGGCAGCACCCCTCTACACTGTCCTTCCAAGTGGGACCCTCCCTCAGCGAGGTGAGCTGCCCCACTCCATCAGCCCATTCCACGGGGGGGGGGGGGGGGCATGGCTCTAAGCTGGCCTCTTTTCAGCTTCTAAGCTGTTGCTCCCTCCTCCAGCAAACAGCCATCCAAATCCTCGAAGGCAGCTATGTCACCCCATGTAAGTCTACACACCCCTGTTCCTTCGACAGCTCTGCAGCCAAGGCCATTCACCTTCCTGTGGAATATCGATCCTCTTCCTCAAAGGTGGCGCCCAGAAGTGAACCCAGTACTGCAGGACGTGGTTTGACAGGGAGCCAAGCCCAAGGGGACCATGGTCCCTGCTCCTAGACCCCCCGTCTCTCCTACAGTAGTCCAAGACTACATCAACGCTGCTGGCTGCTCACGGCAAGCTCAGAGTCCCCTAAAATCTGCACGCTGTCTTCAGCTGGACTGCAGCCTAGCCAAGCCCCTCCTTCATCCTAGACAATAAAAAGGTGACTTTCTGAACCCAAGTAAAAGGCTTTCTGTTATCTTTAGGCTACATCATCTTGTGTAATTCCACCCACTGTCCAGGCCTGTCAGGATCACCTGACCATGTCATGCAGGTCACTCCCAGGTCATGCAGGTCACTCCCAGATCTGTCACCCACAAATATGATAAGCATGCCGTCCATGCTCTTATCTCAGGAACTGATGAAGCTGTTCAACAACCCGGGACTAAGAACAGATGAGAAACTCCACCTGAACTGCCCTTCAGACTGACACCAAACCCATCCAACTGCTGTCCCCTGGCCCACATCTCTCCATCTTTTCCAAGAGAAGAACATGCTGGACTCTGTCCAATGCCCTGCTTGATTCCCCCTAAGTCAGATCTCTCATTCCCCTGATGGCCCAGTTTGGGAACCAGTGCAAAAAGGAATAAAGTTAGTCTGGTAGTGTACCAACAGCCCTGCTGTCAACCCTCCTCTCACCACCAGGAGCCACGCCCGTCAGGACCTCCAGCAACCCTGCCCCCAACCCAAGTCTGAGAACTCAGGGAAACTTCCCCCGAAACCCTCCATCTAGCCAGCGCTGATCCAGGAGCTCGCCCAGCTCCACAGCCCAGGAGGACACCAGAATCTAACCAACACAGGCATCCCACCACCTGTCCCACCATCAAACGCACAATCCTCCAGCCACTATTTCCCACCATTTACTTGAAGAATAATAAATGTTACCACTGCTAATGGGAAGAGCATGACAAGCCACTTCCCTATGGCTCTACACCTAATTTCTGTGAGTCTAGGTCACAAACTGCCTAGATCAAAGCTGTCTTATCCTTCTTCATACCCAGCCATGCCAGATCTGAGCCTCCAGGGTCTCTAACCATCTCTTCTACTGAGCCAGCCTAAGCTGATTACATTTTACCCCTTCTTACCTGTTCTCCTTGGCCAAACAGGCCCATGTGCTGTTTACTCTATGGGACATCCCATTTCCAGCTTCTACTGGGGATGTCCACATTGCCAGGAATGCTTTCCTCATCTCTACCTCTTGGAACTCCTAGAACTTCAGAACTCCTAGAACTAGAATTCCAGACTCTTCAGCTCAAGGGCTACTTCCTTCAAGAGACCTTTCCTGCTTCCTCCAATTGAGAGTATCAACATATATTTATTTGTGTGTATGTGCGTGTAGGTAGATATAAAGAGAGATATAGATATCCTTCATTTCCTTATCTGTGAACAAGTTATATCTTTCTAGTAAAATATAAACTTCTTAGGACCGTCTCATTTCTGAATTTTTATTTTCCTGGGAACACGGTACGTGCTTAATAACTGTTTGTTGATTGACTGGTTCTCTGTGATAATAGATTTCTAGATGTCCACTAGCTATATTTTTAATATGGTTAACATATTTAATTTAATAATATATACTTTAATAATATATTCTAGAACTTTCCCAGAAACCAAAGGCAATCAGGAAGTCAGGCTTTCTAGCCTGCAGTTTGTAAACTCTAGTCTCTTTTTTGAAAATGAAAGCAGTATTTGTCCTTTTCCAACCCCGAGGGTACCTCTCCCCTTCTCTATAATATAAAGGAGCATATACACAACACAAATTTAACATGTGTTGTCAGAGTTCAGAAGAAGGAAGACACGATATAGGCTGGGATGTTCAGGGACAACAAGGGCCCAACTTGAGGTCAGGTAGGGTCTGGAAGAAGACAGGATGGAGAGAGCATTCCAAGGCAGGAGAAGATATGCAAGGGGGTGGAGGTCAGGATGATCCTGGTGATTAAGGGAGACAGTGAGACCAGCATAGCTAGGGTACAGCTTGGTGGGGTGGGAAGCAGTACCCATCAATCTGGGGCTAGGAGAAAGGCCAACTAGCTAGAATGGAACAACGGATTAAATCCTAAAAGGTCTTAAGGGTGAAGAAAGATAAGAGGCAGCATGGTGTGGTGAAAAAAGAACTGGACTTTGAATCACCAAGACCTGAGTTCAAATATGCAGTCAGCTAGCTACTAGCTGTTTGACCCTGGGCAAATCACTAAGTTTGCTCCTCAGCTCCTTGAAAACAATTCCTCTGACTGACTCCACAAGCTGAGTCAGAGTGTTCCTGGGGGAAGTGGTGTTCCTGGCAGTGCAGCCCTATCCTGGCTCTGCTCAGCGATCTGGGGTACCCCTCTTCTCCCTGCGGCCCCAGAGGGGATCCCCCCTCCCAGGAGCTCCCGCCTGCAGGCACCCACCTGGTCCGAAGGGCCTGCCAAGCAGCGTCGACGTCAGCATAGAGATTCTTCTCCGAGGGTTTTCCTGAGCTCACCCCATAGCCTGAGTAGTCATAAGAGAAGATGTTGCAATTGATGCGGGTGCCCAGGCCAATGTAGAAGCTGCTCATCTGGCCCAGGTCCACTGCATTGCCATGGGAGAACAGAACTGTGAACCTGGCAGGGATGAGAAGAAGGGAAGGGGAGTCCTGGTCACTGCAGGCTCCTCCCCTCCAGGAGAGGCACTGACCTGGAGCAGGGCACACCTGCTAGCCACCTAACCTCAATGCCTCCAAAGACCCAAAGCAAAGAATTCCTCACTTTCTCTGGCAGCTGCTCTTCCCCTCAGCACTTTCAGCTCTTAAGGGGTCCCAAAGAGAAATAAGCAATTTAAAAACCTCCCTAACCAAGCCCAAGGAGCAGGTTGGTGGTGTCAGGAGGTGGCTGGCCCAGACAGACAGGTGCCCCGCATCCAGACGCACGCTGGTTATCAGCACAAACAACAACAACTCCAGTTTGTAGGCCACCTCAAGGTGTACACATCTCACTTTGCTGTGAGACAGTACAAGTATCACTATAGCTTGGGAGGCTGTTACATGACTTCCCAAACTCTGATAGCCACCAAGTGGCAAAGCTGAGATTGGAAACTAGGTCTACTGACTCCAGGTCCCACCAGCTGGCTGCTCAGGCATGGATTCTCTACACACGTGCACACGTGCATGGGCACACATGTATGACTGAGCTACGTGCCACTGGCCCAAACCTATCCACTGCCTTCTCTCACTCACTGCCATAAGCATCTAGTGCCCAGGCTCCCTGCCAGCTCCTCTCTCCATATTGCCAATTCCGTTTCACCAACACTGATTCAGCACCAACTATAAGAAAGGGAAGGAAGAAGCCCAGGGAGTCTGTGACACCCCAGAAGGTGCCAGTGCCCTATCTGGGACCCAGTGTTCTTCCTCGTGTCTTGTTTTCTTCTGTTCCCAATCAGGCTGGACTTTTTCTCTGGCTCCTGGGGCCGAGGCCAACTGGCTAGGACCAATCTTGGGGACAGGTCTAAGGGGATGGGAGGGCCAAAAGGACTCCAGCATCACTGTGAAGAAACCAAAGAGAGAGCCTCTTCAAATGGGCATGTTGTCCCAGGGATAGGGGCTGCTGCTGGAGTCTGCTCTGGAAGGAATGGTATTGGCACCGACAGAACTGCCTGCCAAGTGCTTAAAGCAATCCCACCAAGGGAAACTATGTGACAGAAAGAGCACCAGATCAGATGGAAGGAGAGAGACCTAGCTCTGGCACTGGCTTGGCCACTGACCCTGGAGAAGTTGGTTCACCTCGCTAGGCCTTAGTTTGCTCCACTATTAAAATGGTAATATTTGCATTACTATTGGTATGTGACTTTACAAGGTTATTGTGAGATTCAAATGAGATAAGAGCTATAAAATGCTGCACAAATGTGCCCTATTCTCTCCAAGCCTCTGGCCTCTCCATGTCTCAGCACAGCTGCCAAAATAGTCTTTCTGAGGCACAGTTCTGAGGAGTCAGTCTTTTGCTCAAGAACTTTGGGTGGCTCCCTATGCCTATAAGATTGAAGCTAACCCCAAGGCTTGGAACGTAAGGGGCTCTCCAATGGGGGGTCAGTCTACCTTTCCAGCCTTATTTCAGTTCATCCCCTCTTTACCCAGTCAGTGTTCCAGCCTGGTAAAACCTCTCTGTTCTTTGAAGGCTCAGTGTAGGGGCTTGTCTCCTCCACAAAACCTTCTCTACTGCCTCCAATAAAAGCGATCTTTCTCCTCAGATTTTCTTAGAATCATCTTCTTTGGATTTCTCTTCTACCCCTACCATAGCCTCCCTTATAGAGATGGGGCTGGCCCTGTGATATCATTGGTATAGTCAATTCTGCACCTTAGTGTCTACAGAGCTGCCTGGAGCCCTGCAGTTAATAAAATGACTGGACCAGGGTCACCCAGCAAGAACGTGCCAGAAGTGGAACTCAAACTCAGGCCTTTCTGGGTGGCTCTCAGGTGACTGCATCTCTTCAAACTTGTATTATACCTATTTTTCACCCTATTAGAGTGTGGGTCTCCTACATAAAAGGCCCTGAACAAAAGTCTTCAATTTGTTGACTGTGGAAGGCTCTGGCAAAATAGAAAGCGCTTTAGAAATGACCAATAATCACCAAGAACTTCCCAGCCTTGAACGTGAATACCTATCCTTAGCTCACCTATTAACTAGTGTGACCCCTTCATTTGAGCTATGAGAAGGTAAATGATTTGCCCAGCACTCAAAACCCAAGCCTCTCTGTTCCGTGACTGGGCTGGCTCTAAGACACTCATATGTAGTGCACGTACACAATGCAAACTACGGGCCCCCAGCACATCCCTCTGCTCCTAGAAAAAGTCCACGGAGCCCATTCCCCCACCACTGGCAACATCCATCAGGTACCAAAAGAGGCAACAATGCCTGAAGGGGCAGAGGGAGGGTAGAGAGGAGGGACAGAGAAAGGCCAGAGTCCCAATACAGAAGAAACCAATGCCTTGGATGAATGACACACATCTTTTATTAATAGAAACACTGACTAATGCTGTGCTCAATTGGTGCCCCCATCACAGGGCCAGGCCAGATGTCTCCCTCAAGTCTCCCTCACACTTCACAAGCTTCTGACCAGAAAAGCAGGTGCCCAGGCCTTTCTGGGCATCCTCATCCTGGCTTAGATAATTGCTAGCCATGGGCCTCAGTTTCTTCATCTGTAGAGCAGGATAACCCTACTTGCACTACCTACACTTCACAGGGTTATTGTTAGGAAAAGACTTTAGAGAAATGTGAGTTACTTTACCACACATTTTCAAACTGAATGTTTAAAACACACACACACACACACACACACGCACACACACATGCACACGCACATGCACACCCCTTCAATGAGAGTTTAAAGCAGAAGAAGGCAGCTCCATGGAAACCCCAAATGGCCAGAAAAGGCCCCAAAGCCAATCGAGGCTGCCAGGCTTCCTCGAGGACACTTACCTGGCCCCTGGCACACAGCGGACATACATACAGGAAATGCGGTTCCCCCGACTGCTCTTAGTAAAGAAGACCTCAGTCGTGTCTAAATCACGCTGTGTATACTGGAAGTCAGCTCTCTCTGTCAGGTGCAATTTCCAGCGGCCCAGGGCCCCCCCCAGAACCTCGCCCTGGGGTGGAGCCCCCTCCACTGGAACCCGGCTCAGGCTCGGCCACGAGGGAGTAAGTAGGCTCTGGAGGCAGGAAGGCCAGTTTGGCTGCGATTCGGCCAGGACAGGGTGGGCAGCAGAAGAGGCAGCAGAGTTCGCTGATGGATAGGCCGTTCATGGCGAAGAGAGAGTCACACTTCTGTGAGGGAGGACCCCAGATCCAAGGCTGCGGTGCCCAAAGCTCTGGGGAAACAATGTCTTCAAAGCAGAATTTGCTTTTTATTTTTTGTTTTCCAAAACACAAGTGGGAAAGACTGTGCTGTGCTTCCCTGCAGCCTCCACCCTGTACAAAGTACCTGTTAGGAGAGCTGGACAGGGAACCATTGTGGTCCGAGCCCAGCCATAAGGGGTACCCGGGCCGTTCTCCTCCAAGCTCCGGCTAGGGAAGGCCTGTGGGGAAAGGAGGAAGAGAGGAAGCCATGAGAACAGTGTCTGAAAAGACCCACATTGCCCAGGGTGCTCAAAAGCCCAAACCCAGGCAAAAGCGAGAGCTCTTTGGCTCTTGTCTCCCATCTGGGTGGCCATGGCAGGACTGTGAAGGAATCTAGAGGTATTCATCATCCACACAAGGAGACTGGGGGAAATCTGGGGGAAGGAAAGCAGGAAGGTGAGAGCTGGCACACAGGAGAAAGGGTGAGAACGAAGCCTTGGGTGACTTCAACTGGTTAGGAGCAGAACAGAGGCTTTCCATCTAGAAGGGGCCTTATGACAGAAGGGGAAGCTGAATTCCAAAGGGAAGTGACTTGCTGGAGATCACAAAGGCAATTAAGCGGCAGAGATGCAGTTCGAACCCAGGTCCTCTGATTCCATATCCACCACTCAAGATCTCACCTGCCTCTGAGCAGCAGTAAGCTCACAGGAACTTCTGAGAGCTTGGCTCTGAGCTAGGGGAACTCCATTACACCCTCCTGCCTCAGCTTTCCAAATCAAGCAATGCCCATTGTTTAGAGACCCTCCAAGTGCCCACAAAACAACCAGCACAAAGAAGGGAGGGCTTCCCACAGAGAAAGCAAGAGCGTCCAGGGCCAGCAGACAGCTCTGTTACATCTACCTGACGAGAGACATTGCCCCCAAACACACTGTATCCCCCAGACGTCTGATACGCTACTCTTCACAACAGAGACATGCACACCCTCATTCCCAGATTCATATCCTCACAAACACATGCTCACAACAGTTGCACACAGATGAAGTCACACTTTTCCTTACACAAACATACTTTCTCAAACACACATGCAAACACTGACATATTCATCTTTCATATGTGTCTCTCATATGCATGCATTGTACCCATTCACACTACATGCATCTCTTTCTCATGCACACACACATCACAGAAACACTAATCACTTTTCCTCACACAATCTGCCATGTAGATTGCATAGAGCTCCTGCTCACAAGCAGTCTCACCTAAAATGCTTTTTTCTGTCATAAACAAACACACACATCCATAGAGGTGCATACACAGGGCCTCTCTCCCACACATATATGGCTGCCCACCACCTCCCCCTCACCACACACATTCTTATAACACTTCACATGATGTACACAAATCTCACAGGTTGTATACCCACATACTACACATATCATACACTATACCTCTGATATATATACACACACACACACACACACACTGTGTCCAGGGTTCATGAATACTGTGAACTGTGCCTCTTAGACATACTGAGCACATCACACACACACACACACACACCGCTTGGACACACCTGCCTCTCCTGTACACTGTCTCTCACATACTGTTATATACTGTCACTCATGTGATGTCATTCAGCCTTTTCTCTGTCATACAGCCCCTATAGCATCACCCATGAAATCTCTCCCATGAGCCCCCTCTCCTCACAACACTCATACAATCACACACAATCTCTCTCAGGTAGGGTCTCCCAGCCACACACTCACTCTCAGTATCTCACAATCACATATAACTTCCTGGTCAGTTTTACATTCTGTCACACACACTATCTCCTATAGTTTATCTCTTACACAGGGCAATTGGCTTAGTCTCCTTAGACAACTGTTCCACATACATGTATCATCCCACAGTGTGTTTGTCGCATACCCAGTGTTATACACACATTGTGTATCACACACGTTGTATCCTGCACAGCCTGGCACATAAGCTCCTGGAGTCTACTACACAATGCCCAGGGATTCGCACACAGGGCTGCATGCAAGCAGTGAGTGTCACACACATCCTGTGTCTGTTCACACAATAAATGTCACCCAGTATGTGGATCACAAACCCTGTTTCTCTCTCTCTCTCTCTCACACACACACACACACACACAGTCCTATTCACCCTGTCTGCTGCACAGCTCCCTGTACCACACACACTGACACTGACACAATGTCTTCATGTCTTATTACACATTGTCTGTCACACACAGCAATGTATTGATTGTTATACAATGAGTGTCCCACAATGTCCACCCCACATCATGCTATATCCCACATCCTGTGACACTCACGGGGCCACATACATGCAGCATCTCCTAGTCAGTCAACAAGCATTTATTTAAAGGTTCCCTATCTAGAAAGCACTGTGCTACCTCAGGCTGGAGATACAAAGAAAGGCACAAAACAGTCCCTGCCTTCAAAGAGTTTACATTCTAACAGGGAAGACAACATGCAAACACATACCTTATACAAACAACTAAGCAGGTACAAGATACATAAGGAGTAGACAGAAAGTGATCTCAGAGAGGAAGGCACTAGCAGAGGGAAGCACCTGGTAAAGGCCTCTCTTGCAAAGCCCAGGAAACCAAGGGGCAGAGGTGAGGGGCCATGGAGGACAGGCAGCCAAGCCAGGGCAAAGGTTGGGCAGCTAGGCCCCTGGAGCACCATCTTAGAGCCCAGATCACCAAGGAAGGAAGGGGCCCCGTTGTTAAGCTCTTTCTTTAAATGCAGAACCAAACCCGTTTCTATGGGATCCTGAAGCTGCCGGGGGTGACTTGGCCAAACCGGGCCTCCACTTTAGAAGAATCAGAGTTTCTGTCACATAAGCAATGTCCTGGTCACAGTACATGTCTCACCCCCCCACGGAACTCCTCGCATGAAGTGTCTCACACACAAAGTCACACACACAAGGAGTGCCTCAACATACGCAGTGACTCTCCAAGCCATGTCTTGTCCCACAAGGAGCTTGTCACCAGTGCTGCCTTACACACCCTGTGATACACCCTGCCCAGATTGGCCTCCAGGCCAGCTAGGCAATAATCATTTATTATGCGCCTACTGTGTGTCAGGCACTGTGCCAGGCGCTGGGGATCCAAGGAGAGGCCCACGGTCCGGCTGTCACGCTGGGCAGCGAACAGTCGGGGCGGACGACCCCCAGCCCGGGCTGCCCCTGGCCGTCGGAGTCTCCCTGTCCCACCGGGAGGGCCCCTCCACCCCTCCTGGGTCGCGCACTCAGGGCTTTACGTGTGTCCCACCTCGCCCTGTCGTTGGGAAACACGGGGGGGGTCCTGTCCCGTACCCCCCTCCCTCGCCCCCATCTGTCTCTCTGTGTCACACTCACTCTCACACTCCCTGCGTGTGTCCAGGGCCGCAGGGCCGTCCCGGGGCAGCGTCCGGCGGCCTGGCCTCGCGCCCCCAGCCCGGGAAACGGTCGGGTCCGGCCCGGCCCCCCTCCCCAGCCCTCGGCCTGGTCCTCCTCCCGCTGGACCGTTGTGGGGAGGAGGAGGAGGAGGGGAGGGGGAGGAGGGAGTCCGCCCCCAGGCTCGGCCGCACTCACCGCTCCGGGCCGCCGCCGCCGCCCCCGCCGCGCCCCCCAGCCCCGCGCTCCATGCCCGGCCTGGCCCCGATCCCGCCCCCGGCCCGCTGCGCTCGGCTCAGGGATCCAGCCGCTCTCGCCTCACTGCTCCGGCGGATGTGGAGGTGAGGAAGAGCCGCCGCTCCCCCGCCCGCGTCCCCCCCCACCGCCCCTCCCCAGGAAGTGACGTGAGCGAGGGGCGGAGTCTGAATGAGAAGGGCGGGGCGGGGCGGAGCCAGAGGGAGGTGGGGAGGGGAGGAAACAGAGAAGAGGAAGGAGGGGAGAGGGCAAAGGGGGCGGGGAGGGGATCACTGAGGAGGAGGTCTGACGGGCGAGGAGTAGGGGGCAAGGAGGGAGAGAGAAAGAAGAGAAGAGGGCGCTCTGAGAGGAGGAGGAGGGGTCAGGAAAGAGAGGAAAGAGAGGGAGGCGGAGGAGGTCAGAAGGGAGAGAGGACTAGGAAGGAAAGAGGAAAGGAGTCAGTAGAGAGAAAAAGACAGGAAGGGGTGAGAGGGGATGGGGAAAGAGAGGAAGGGGGGAGGAGGTCAGAAGGGAGAGGACTAGGGAGAAGGGAAGGAGTCACTAGCGAGAAAGAAAAGAGGAGGGGGTCAGATGGGACGGGGAAAGAGAAGAAGGAGGGGAGGTCAGAAGGGAGAGAGGACTAGGAAGAAGAGGAGTCAGTAGAGAGAGAAAAAAAGGAGGGGTCAGAGGGGACAGGGAAAGAGAGGAAGGAGGGGAGGAGGTCAGAAGGGACAGGACTAGG